GAACTCTTTAATTAACACACAATTATTCTTAGGTGTTTAAATTTAACTGAAAAGTAATCCCTGTTAAATATAAGAGTGGGAATAAGAGAGGGAGAAGATGTACAGTTTGGCGCATGCTTAATTAGACTTGCCCCAAACGGTAAAGTTAGAAACATGCCTGGGTTTTCCAATTTAATCCCATCAAGGTGGCATGGACCAACGCCATCTCACTAGTCAAAGTGATCAATTTCAGTTCACAATTGATCATAATGATAGGACTAAGAGTCAAAGGGGTCACATAAACAAGACTAGTGTCTGCTAATACTAAGTGATAGAATTAGAAAGGAGAGAACGATCCAACATAGGAAGCCGGGTACACAGCAGACTCATAGAATGGCAGATGTCCTAAATAGCACTCTGGCCTCAAAATCAGCCCATAAGTCATTCTGATCTGGCTGAAGAGCCCATGAGAGTATTGTAGGCATGGAAAGCCAAGACATTCTGGAAAAAAAGAAAAAAAAAACCTAAATGAAAAATTTCTGCGAGTGAGATCCCAGTGGAAAGAACGGGCCATCAAAGAAGGAGGTACCTTTCTCTGAAGGGAGGAGAGAACTTCCACTTTGACTATGACCTTGTCTAAATAAGATAAGAGTTGGTGAACTCAAAAGGCTTCCATAGCCTTGGCAACTCATGACAAGAGCCTAGGGTGATTACTGATGCCATACACGAGAGTGTCAATTGTTAAGTCAACAACAGGAGTCACTGTACACTTACTCCTCATGTAGGATCTCTGTTCTTAACGTGTTGTACAATGTTAATTAATGCTATAACTTGGACTCAAACAGTATTTTACACTTTGTGTTTCTGTGTGAGTGCGAACTGTTGAAACCTTTACTTAATATATACTAAATCAATCTTCTGTATATAAATTGAATTGAAAATTGAAAATGAATCTTGATATGAATGGAAGGGGAGAGGGAGTGGGAAAGGGGAGGGTTGCGGGTGGGAGGGAAGTCATGGCGGGGGGGAGCAAATGTAGTCCATAAGCTGTACTTTGGAAATCTATATTCATTAAATAAAAGTTAAAAAAAGTGCTGTAGCAATAGCTCATATATCCCAACAGATTCATAATCCACTGAAAACCCTGAAGAAAGTATAAAGGTTTCTGGGCTACCAAGAATGATAGCAAATAAAAATTCATTACACTGGCCTGATGCCTTTCACATTACAAGAAAGCCTATTTGTTACCCTCTTGGCCAATTAACTTTTAGTTTATGCACAGTTCTGGCAAACTGATTTCCTGGCTGGCAAAGATTAGAAAGAGCAAATGAGACAGGGCAGAGGTAGTAAGAGGCAGGGTATGAGGCTGCTCCTTGTGGTCCCCATGGCAATCACCAAGGTGTTGGGGAAAGGAAATCACCCTAACATTAACAGGAAAACAATCTGGGAAGTGTTCAAATGTACATACTCAAGCAAGTCGAAATGATTTCAAGCATTTGCAGAGCAGAAGCCGCGGAGCTGCAGGCTTGCCCGTCACAGATTATAAAACATTAGCACCACAGCCATCAGTACTGCTCTCATCAGCCCATGGAGAGACGTGCTGAGGCACAGCCACACTTTTGACCTGGGATCCGCCTTTTCCCATCCATTTCACAACCCTTCAGAAACATCCTGGCATCACCTGGCCTTTCCTTTTCCAGCCAAGGACACCAGGCTCTCCTCTGTGGGATGCCCCACCCATCTCTCCTTTCTGCATCCTCCTGGGTCTCCAGGCCCAGCTAACTTCCCACTTCCTTCTCAAAGCCTTCCAGGCCCGGGTCCCTTAGGAGAAGTACTCTGTGCTATGATGAGTGTTTGGGCCTGTGCTCTCAGAGTTTGCCTAAGGGTTTGCTGCTCCACGTGCCCTTGGAGGGTGAGTACAGAGTCTAACCACAGGGATGTGGACTTTGGGGTCAGAAAGACCTGCAGCCAAATCTGAGCCCTGCTATGGATATGTTACCCAGTTCCATTGAGTTCCTACATCCTGATAAAATAGGCAGGGGTAGGTGTGAGAATAATCAAATGAAGTGATTGGGCCCATTACTGGAAGATTGCATCTGATACTGGGGATGTTTTAATTCATTACGAAAGGACTCTTAGAATAAACTAAGCATTAGGGAACTGCTAAACAGAGACACTGCAGAGGAAATAAGGGAGCTCTCAGGTTCATTCAAAGCCATCGTTCAGAGGTTGGTGTTGATTGGAAGGTGGCGGCATCTAGAACAGAGGTTAGGAAGCACTGTGGTTTGGATATGGTTTGAGTGTTGCCCCTCAAGCCTTCATGTGTTCGGAGCTTGGATCTCGGTGGTGTAATGTGGGAAGGTGGGGGCTTCAGAAGGAACTGAAGCAGTTATCACGAGAGCCTGGTTAGTCCTCAACAGAGGGGGTTGATACAAAAGGGCAAGCCTGGCTCCTGAGCCACCCCCTGGCTCCCTTCTGCTCGCAGCTACTCCAACCAGAGCCAGCACCATGCTGTTTGAACTTCCAGCCACTAAAACTGTGAGCTAACTAAGCCTCTTCGTAAGTACCCATCCATGGGTATCTCATTATAGCAACAGAAAATGAGCTAATCCTGGAGCTCTGGCTTTGAGTTCAATCTACTTGAGTTCAAATCTAAGCCATCAACATTTCTTAGCCCTGTGACCTTGAGCTGACCATATATCTATTCTATGTCTGAGTGCCCTTGTTTTTTTAGATGGGATCATGGCTTCCTCTCCATATGTTTAGAGTGATGATTAAATGAGACAGTGCGTCTGAAACTGGTTTATTGGTGAGTTGGCTTAAACAAGGTACTAGCAAAGTGCACTGGAATACTTTTTCTCAAATACCCTTTCACACCCATTCTGTTGCATTTTCCTTATCACCCCCTAGACTAAATCCCCAGACTAAAGCTTCTCCGGCCACATTCATAGATATATGAAAAGGTCTGGACAGGAATCTCAAATCCCCAAGGGAGAGTAAGCAGAGGTGGGCTTCCTCACCGCTCACCCCCTCAGCATTCTGCACACAGCACTTGTGGAGCAGGGGCAGGAAGAGAGAAGAGAGCAGAGAGGCCTTCCTCGCTGGTGCACTTGGAATCTAATCTTGGCGACAGGACATGCTGGATGTTAACTTTTTCCTGAGGTGTTCTTGTGGGTGCTCTGCAGACCTCACCCCCTCACAGGGAAGACCCCCTGAGCACAGTCTCCTTCGAAATAACCAAGCCCAACTAGTTCTGCATATCACTTTAGCTGACAGCAAGCATACCCCTCCCCTCTGCTAGGGCTCCTGCCCTTTCTCCTTGCTCTGCCTTAGGCATCCCTCCAGCCAGCATCTGTCCTTCATTTATGGCCAAATTTTGACTGGCACCATGGCTGGCAAACTGCTGCAGGGAAGTTGGTGTATCCTGGACAAGGGAGGGTGTTTAGCTGCACCCCTGGCCTCTGCCTACTTGCCGAATTCCATATTGTTGTGACAATAAAAATGTCCCCTAGGGGGCAGAATGCTCTTTCATTTGAAAATTATCGGCTTACGCTATCACAGGTACAAGTTGACCAAAATTTTCAGTGTTTTTCATGTCCCAGGAGTAAATTTTAAGCTCCCCGAACATTAGGCATAAAGAGGCGATAATCTCTCCCCTCTTCTAAAAACTTCCTAACCTTTTTCACAATTATTCCATATTTTCTGTTTTGTAACCTAGAGAAGAGGAACAACAAGCCCAAAGTGACAAAATCTGGTTTTTCAATCCTGCATAAGTGATATTCTTTGTTTAGAGTGTGGGAGTGTTTGTCATCTTTTTGACCCAACATGAATGGCAAAAGGAGACAGAAGCTGAGGACATCATAGGGACAGATTAAGGGCTAAATTGATTCAGGGACATCAAAACTAATTTAAAACAAGTGTACATCGTATTAAGAAAACTGTCCTTAATAAGGAAATATATTATGTACACACACCCTACCTAATAAAATTACACGTTGTAGGTGGGCCCAAGGAATAAAGGGCCAGAGGAGAGTTCCATGTCCACCTGCAAAGCCCTTGAGTTCGTGGTACCCTCCCACGTGGTTGAGAATCCTTCCAGTCCTGCCCTGCTCCTTTCTCCCCTAGGATGAATGGGGTGTGGGAGGAAGAAGCAAGAGCTGGTGCCCAGAAAGGAAGGGAAATAAGGTGGAAAGACCAGTCAATATTGTGACTCCCTTACAGTCTGTATCAACCCTCAGAAAAGCATTTGCATCCAGGAATGCTTCTGTAAATGGATGGCTTGATTCAATTTCAAAATAGTAAATCTAACTTAAGGGTCAAAATAACATGTAATTCAACAATTAGGAGAAATTCCACATTGAACCTTCAGAGCAAGAGGAATCTATGTACAATGATCACTAAGGCAGAGAGATGGGAAGGAATGTCACAACCTACAGAAAAATAGACCCTTTTGGTAGTGAATTAATAAATGAATCTGCAACACAGATAGCTTATCACATCAACTTTAAACATTTTTTTTTTTTGACAGGCAGAGGGGACAGTGAGAGAGAGAGACAGAGTGAAAGGTCTTCCTTTGCCGTTGGCTCACCCTCCAATGGCCGCCGCGGCTGGCACGCTGCAGCCGGCGCACCGCGCCGATCCGATGGCAAGAGCCAGGTGCTTATTTTGGTCTCCCATGGGGTGCAGGGCCCAAGCACTTGGGCCATCCTCCACTGCACTCCCTGGCCACAGCAGAGAGCTGGCCTAGAAGAGGGGCAACAGGGACAGAATCCGGCGCCCTGACCGAGACTAGAACTTGGTGTGCCAGTGCCGCAATGCGGAGGATTAGCCTAGTGAGCCGCGGCACCGGTCTAAACATTATTATTAATGCAAGTGACAAACTCTGTATCTAAAGTAACTAAATCCATAGACCTGGAAACAAAATGTGTCAGGACAGTGTGAGCATAGCTTTACTTATATTTTCTAAAGATGCTGGGTTCCTTTATTTTCCCACTATCACAGTAAACAAAAAGACAAGTTCCTTCAACACATAAAATTACTTTATTAGCTATTGCAAAAGTCTCTGTCAATTCAGGTTCCTGGTATGAGACATCCAAAACCATTTAGTAACCCCTGCCCCCAGTCTAGCACCACTAAATGACCAGGTGGGATGTCTATCAAGAATGAGAGTCAATTATTAAGAAGATATGAGCTTTTTGGGGGTGAGGGGGGTTCTTATACTTTCACTACTATAGGAATGTATTTCCATATCCCACATTCAAAAATCTAAAAAATGTTCTGCCAACAAAATTTTTCATTAGTTTATGTCAGTTCATTTGCCAGTAAAAGCTGATCTCTTATGGCTTACTTAGAGTCATTACTTAGCTATTTTATGTGTATATTCTACATTTTGTTGCAAAAATTTTGTACAGTGCTGTCTCAGATCCTATCAATGAAGTTGATACATAACATGCCATGTGTATCACATGTTACCTTTCTAAAATCTCAGAATTCAGAGTTTGAATAACAATATCTATTTCCCATAGTTTAACATGGGAACTTCTTAGCCTGAATATATGCCCAAGAGTCTAATACACTACAGTTTCTTTAGTTTTTCGGGAAATGAGATTGTCTAGAAAATTCTACATCTCAGTGAAGAAAGGCAAAGTTCTGGGGATAAGATCCTCCAGATATTTTCTTGTAGAAGAAGGTATTTCTGGCAATAACCCAGACAGTTTGACAAATACAGGGGTACATTAAAAACTTAATAGAAAAATGGAGTTAAAGGGTAAGCTTATTTTCTGGTACAAAAAAAAAAAAAACTGAAATCCAGGCATAGTACTTTTTATAATACTCATTTTCCATGACCTTTTTAAAGACCCCTCATGACAAATAAATATTTTTACTCTAAGATGACTACTGTTCATTAAAAGCACGTCCTTATCTTTTGTGGAGAACAAGGGAAATGAAAGAATTGGAAAGGAAGGGCCCATTACTGTGGAGGCTACACAGGAAAAGTACAAGTTGCTTCCTGATCCAGGAACATTAACAATATACTGTATTTAGAAAGTGATTCTCTGGATGCAGAGCTTGTAGACAAGTCCAAAGGGACTTAACTTGTGCTACCCTGCTTAAGGAGAACAGAACTTGCCAAAGAAAATGATGTTTCGAGTTTTGTTGTGCCTGATGATGTAAATAAATGGGTGGTCAGCATTGAACTCATCCTTGTGTTGCAGGATCCGTGATCCAGGCACCTCTATGGACTCTCCCCCATCTTCATTTATTTCCAAGCACACTCTGTGAATAACGTGTGATAGGGCCACTCCCTTGGTCTCTGACATTCCAGAAAAATCAGAGGTATTTTCATCAAAGATAGTTTTCAGCCCTAGATTTTCCAGGCTAGCTTTGGGATCAATCATCTTTTCCACCTTAAATTTTGGAATGGAGAGTTTGACTTTGGCATTAGCCATGGTGCTAGGATTTGTCCACTGCAACAGCGTCTCTGAGTTGAGCTGTTTCTCAATCTGAAAGACAAAAAGGAAAGGAAATTATTGTAGGAAGGAATAAAGTTACAACATCTTCAGCAGACTCATAGAATGATAACTGCTTTAAGTAACACTCTGATCTCAGAATCAGCCCTTAAGGCATTCTTGTCTGGCTGAAAAGCCCATGAGAGCATTTCAAGCATGGAAAGCCAAGATACTGAGGCAAAAAAAAAAAAAAAATATTCTCCATGAAGAATCTCTGTGAGATCCCAATGGAAAGAAGTGGCCATCAAAGAAGGATATACTTTTCTCTAAAGAGAACAGAGAACTTCCACTTTGCTAATGGCCTTGTCTAAATACTGACGGAGATAGTGGATTCAAAAGGTTTCCATAGCCTAGACAGCTCATGTCAAGAGCCTCAGGTGGTCACTGACATCATACATAAAAGTGTTAATTGTTAAATTAACAACAGGAATCTCTGTGCACTTGCTTCCCATGCAGGACCTCTATCCTCAATGAGTTGTATTATGAGAGTTAAATGTGATACTTATTCTTTAACAGTTTGTGTGTGTGCATGTGTGTGCAAATTGTTGAAATCTTTACTTAGTATAGAGTTGGTCTTCTATGTACAAAGTTAATTGAAAATTAATCTTAATAGAGAATGGGACTGGGAAGGGGAGAGGGAGGAGGAGGAGGGGTGTGAGTGTGAGTGGGAGGGCAGGTATGGTGGGAAGAACTACTATATTCCTAAGGTTGCACATATGAAATTTGTCTTCCTTAAAAAATAAATTAATTAAGCTGGCACCGTGGCTCACTAGGCTAATCCTCTGCCTTGTGGCTCCGGCACACCAGGTTCTAGTCCAGGTTGGGGCGCCGGATTCTGTCCCGGTTGCCCCTCTTCCAGGCCAGCTCTCTGCTATGGCCCAGGAGTGCAGTGGAGGATGGCCCAAGTCCTAGGGCCCTGCACCCCATGGGAGACCAGGATAAGTACCTGGCTCCTGCCATCGGATCAGCACAGTGCACCAGCCACGGCGGCCATTGGAGGATGAACCAACGGCAAAAGGAAGACCTTCCTCTCTGTCTCTTTCTCTCACTGTCCACTCTGCCTGTCAAAAAAAAATTAATTAATATTTTTTAAAAATCTTATATGAGAAAAATATTCTTGTGAACCCAGTTTCAAAGCTGTATGGGTGAACCACCAGCTTGGTTCTCCTCCCAACCCTACAGCAATTATCCCCTTGCACTGGAATGTAAGAGCAGGGTTTTTATTTGCTTTCAGTTATAAAGTAGCTATAGAAGCAGATACACGGGTTTTGTTGCATACACAATAGTAAAATGAATATAACATTAGAAAGGTTTTTATATGTATTTCTTGAATACTTCTTATAGTCTCTATATAGAAATCCAGGATATTGTTGTGGTAGGCATGGAATCAAATTTAATAACTCAAGTTAAAGCTAAAGTCACTCTTCTTTTACAATGGAAACATGGACTCTCTCTGAGTTGTTCTTTAATATCACAGGTGGTGACTGCGTCCATTTCAGCTGGTCTGAAAAATGAGAGATGCAGTGAAGCACAAAATTACTCAGTCGTCACACTCTTCATTGAGCAAATCATAAATTGCTGCTTGCCCTTTCTCCACTGGTTGGAGGCAAAAGAAGGACACATACACCAGGGGATAATGATATAGTTAACTGTTACTACCACGGAACAATATTGCACCCGCATGCTCACACAGAACTGATAAAGATCAAGGACATGGCAAGGTCACAGGCTGTTGTATTTCTCTTTGTTATGAGAGAAGGGATCATTTGATTCTCTTATTAACCTATTATAATGGCTTTTCAGTGGATATGGTTTCATTTAAGATAAATTATTAGAATCAAAAGATTATTTAAAAAAATAGAGGTTTTGAGCCAACTGGTATATGCTCTTGTCCGTTTGTCACTCAGGAGTGGTGAAAAGGGGGAGAATCCACCGTCACTCAAAGGAACCATTTTATACTTGTAAACGTGTTGGCCTGTGCCCCACAATTCACAGAAATACCTCCAAATATGACATTTGGAAACAGGGTTGTTTCCAGTGTAATTAGCTGAGATGAGGTCACCCAAAGTGCCTGATGTCCTTACACAAAAGGAGAGTCTGGACAGAGACAGTCGCAAACACAGGGCAATGCCCTGCAAGGGGGAAGGCAGGAGGCAGTGAAGTATCTTCCAAGAGTGTCAAAGGTGGCCAGCAACCTTCCAGAAGGCAGAAGTGGGACACAGAACACTCACAACCCTTGGAAAGAACCAACCCTGCTAACGCCTGATCTGAGATTTGTAAATCCCACAACTATGAGAAAATGAAGTTCTGTTGCACTCAAGCCACCCACTTCATGGTGCTCTGTTATGGTGGCCCTGACACACACAATATGTGTTTTTAGATATTCCTTCCTGAAACTCAAAATACAGTTTTCTTCACTGAAATGCATTATGAATAAAACACTGGTGTTTGCATGAGGGCACTTTAAATATGGTAAAATCCAAGGCAAACACGTAATGGCTGAGATCAAAGCATAAAATGCAGTGGAAAAGAAAGAGAACAACACATCAAAGTAGGATGCGGAAAGAAATCATGATCCAGTTGATAAAAAGAAGATACAACATAGTGACCAGTGGTAGGACGGGGACTGGCTTAGACTGTCCCCTGGAATTCAGGTATAACTGAGCCCTGACTGGAAATACAACAGTTAATCCCTGGCTCTTTAAGTCTAAGGAATGACGCATGCACTGTTTTTTCATAGCACATGTTTTCCACGAATTTTTTGAACCCCTAATATATATGATTTCAAAATTTTTGCATGAAAATAATTTTTTAACTTATTATTGATTTAAGAATCAGAGAGACAGACAGACAGAGAAAGAAAGAAAGCTCTCAGCCTGCTTTTTCACTCCCCCAAAGGCTCACAATGGCAAGAGCTGGACCAGAGCCCCAGCCAGGAGCCAGGAACACAACCCAGGGTGGTAGGAACCAATTACTTGCGCTATCACTGCTGCCTCCTAAGGTTCACATTAGCAGGATGCTGGAATCAGGAGATCAGGAGCCAAAAGTGGGCATTAAGTCCAGGCTCTCCGGAATGAGATGCAGGCATCCCCACCAGAGTTTTTAACTGCTAAACCAAGCACCTGCCCATCCAGAAACTTATTGAAGTATAATAAAATCTCATTTACATGTATGTATGTAGTAAAAACTCATAAACATAAAACAAAAGGAACAAACCTTAACGTAAACAGTGGGCTTCTTATAATAATATATCAATGTTGACTCATCAAAGGTAATAACTGTACCACACTAAAGCAAGACGCTAATAATAGAGAAACTGCAGGACTGGGAAGAGGAGGACTATACGGGAAGTCTCTATATTCTCTGCTCATTTTTTTATAACCCTAAAACTACTCTAAAAGTAGTCTCTACTACTTCTTGAAAAAGGAAAAAAGCTTTTGTTCTCTGGAGAGTAGACCAAGAAGTATATGTGATATGCTGCTAAGATAAGAAGGCACTTAAGCCTGGAGTTAGGAACATGGCTCCAACTTCCTGGGCTCAAACCCCAAGTCTACCTCCCATTGACTAGTTAGGTGACTGTTGGCCAGTTATCTGCCCCTCTGCTCACCAGTTCCTCATGAGCAAATAAGAGTCTGGCAATAATTTCTAACTCATTGGACTGTTGTAGAAGTTAAATGAGATCACGCAACCTGGCATCATGTAAGTACCAAAATAATGTTGGCTACTTCTTTTTTTTTTTAACTTTTATTTAATGAATATAGATTTCCAAAGTACAGCTTATGGACTGCAATGGCTTCCCCCCACCCTCCAATGACTTCCCTCCCACCCACAACCCTCCCCTTTCCCGCTCTCTCTCCCCTTCCATTCACATCAAGATTCATTTTCAATTTTCTATATATACAGAAGATCAGTTTAGTATACATTAAGTAAAGATTTCAACAGTTTGCACCCACATAGAAACACAAAGTGAAAAATACTGTTTGAGTACTCATTATAGCATTAAATCTCAATGTACAGCACATTAAGGACAGAGATCCTACATGAGGAGTAAGTGCACAGTGACTCCTGTTGTTGACTTAACAAATTGACACTCCTGTTTATGGCATCAGTAATCTCCCTATGCTCCAGTCATGAGTTTCCAAGGCTATGGAAGCCTTTTGAGTTCTCCAGCTCTTATCTTATTTAGACAAGGTCATAGTCAAAGTGGAAGTTCTCTCCTCCCTTCAGAGAAAGGTACCTCCTTCTTTGAAGACCTATTCTTTCCACTGGGATCTCACTCATAGAGATCTTTCATTTAGGTTTTGTTTTGTTTTTGTTTTTGTTTTTGTTTTTGTTTTTTTTTGCCAGAGTGTCTTGGCTTTCCATGCCTAAAATACTCTCATGGGCTTTTCAGCTGGATCCGAATGGCTTTAGGGCTGATTCTGAGGCCAGAGTGCTGTTTAGGACATCTGCCATTCTATGAGTCTGCTGTGTATCTCACTTCCCATGTTGGATCACTCTCCCCTTTATTTATTCTATCGGTTAGTATTAGCAGGTACTAGACTTGTTTATGTGATCCCTTTGACTCTTAGTCCTTTCATTATGATCAATTGTGAACTGAAATTGATCACTTGGACTAGTGAGATGGCATTGGTACATTGTTGGCTACTTCTAATATCAAAGAGGAAAGGCCCAGAAAAGACTTTGCAATCCTTGGAAGTGACCAAGCCAGTGGCGAGGAAGGCAGGGCGGCCACCCACTTCTCACAGCCCCACACAGCATTGTCCCTGCACCACTCTGCCATAGAGGGGCAGGGGGACTTTCACAGTGAGCACCTGCTCCATCTTTACCTTCTCCAAGCCTGTCGACTCGTCCTCCACATCCTTGGGCAGCAGGATGAGCATGCTGAGATGTTTATTTTGAAAAGGAAGCTCAATGACCTTACAATTGATGTCATCAATGTTGCCCATACAGAAGGTAGCTTCCATATTCATCATCTGCACTGGTTTGGAGTCTGTCTGTTGAAGAAGAAACATCTGGACTGCTTACTTCCCAATTACGTAACAGAAATAAATATGCATACATACATATGAGCATATACACACACAGAAACACATGCACATATATACTGCACATACACACACAAGCCTATATGTATGGGAACACAGAGTCACGTGTATGTGCATATATATATGCACACATGTACATATACATACATACGCAGCCTTGGTCTTGAGATAACTGTGTCAAAAAGGCTTATAATGCACCCACTTGGATCCAAAAGGCACCCAAACCATCAGAGACATCCTGTGAAGAGCTTATGGCTTCCTTTGAAATGTCACTGTGTGCTTTGTAATTTCCCATTTCATACATTATAGGACTATATGTAATACCATAGTTGCATACATAAAACTTTTACTCAACATGTTGGCAAAGTTTAAGTTAGTCTTAATACATGCCTATAATTATGAGATCTTTTCTCTTGGTTGGGCTGACTTAAAAGTAAATTTGAACACAAATGCAAATATCTATTTGTACAGTTTTTCCTAATAAAATACCCAATTTAAATACCTAGCTTACAGCAGAACAATACCACCATCAGTTTGAGTCACCCACTCCTCCCAGCATTGGCACCTACTCTGATCTGAGCAGCAGAGATGCAGTATTGAGAACCTTGGGTTCTAGTCCCAGGTGTGACATAAACAGATGTGACCTTCAGCAAGTCACTTTACCTCTCTGGGTCTCAGTATCTTTGTCAGTGCAACTAGGGAATTGGAAAATTCAGAACAATGGCTACCACTGGGGAAGAAGGGAGAGGAATAGGAGAGCATGAGGCCCAAGGCAGGGTGGGGTAGCAGAGGACACACAAAAGGCCATGCAATTGTCATAATATTTTCTATTGAAAATGTCTCAAACAATCAAGGCAAAATGTTAGGTTTATAAAGTTGGTTGGGGGGGGGGGCAGTGCTGTGGTGCAGTGGGTTAACGCCCTGACCTGAAGCACTGGCATCCCATATGGGCGCCGGTTCGAGACCCGGCTGCTCCACTTCTTGTCCAGCTCTCTACTGTGGCCTGGGAAAGCAATAGAAAATGGCCTAAGTCCTTGGGTCCCTGCACCCACGTGGGAGACCTGGAAGAAGCACCTGGCTCCTGGCTTTGGATCAGCGCAGCTCTGGCCGTTGCAGCCATCTGGGGAGTGAACCACCCGATGGAAGACCTCTCTCTCTCTCTGTGTCTCTCTCTCTCCTCTGCCTCTCCTCTCTCTGTGTCACTCTGACTTTCAAATATATAAATAAATAAATATTTTTTAAAAAAAGTTGGTTGGGAAGTCCACTGGTGTTTGCTTGACTGCCCTCTGTAATTTTTGCATATTTAATTTTATGATTTTAGAAAATGAGAATGCTTGAAAGAAATTATCTCAAGATCCCTTTCAGCTCCAGTACACTACATGGTCCTCTCACCATGGGACTCAAGGTCTTAACTACCCCGGCCTTGATCTCCAGGAACCACCCCAGGCCTTTTCTTCTCTCTGCCCATGGTAACATGTGAACTCCTGCCCCTGTTACAGAGGTGACCGAGTTTATAAAGAAAAATTATGAATTCACACTAAGAAGTAAAAGACTGATAGAAATTCAGTGTGACTTCTTGTTGTGATATACACTTTCTATTGAGTATTTGCCTGTTAACTGACCCTCATGGGGTGAAATTTCATGCTTTATATCGGCCTGCAGGGATAACACTGCAGTAAAGCTTGTGTCTGAGATCTCAGACAAAGAACTGATCCTTACCAAACACCTCTGTCAAGCACAGCTCCACCTCACTTATTTTACTTTCTTACACTCCTCAGTTGTAACACCGGTCACAGTGTTAGACACATTCACATGACCGTCTCAACCTCCCCTCCCACTAGAATACAATCAAAGCAGAAAATATGTATTATTATGTTGATATATGCCAACATATAGCAATTACTCACTAAACATTTGGTTGATAAATAGTTGAAGATTTTAACTCCATATATAACCAGAAACTAAATTAGAATAGAAAGACATTCTACTTTTGAAATTAACTAATAAGCCTTTCATTTACTTCTCCTAAAGAAAATACAGGTTTGTTATCCATCAGGTTATACTGCTAGTCGTTTCTGGAAATGCATATGGTTGTAGCCTCCAAATCTGTCATGAATTTCATTCGTCAGCAGAATACAGGTACAATAAACCCTTTTTCCAAAACACAAATTAGGATATATCCTCTGAATATCATTAAATATTTATCCCAGAAAATACATACCTATAAGTACGTAAAAATCCATAAATATATAAAAAGAAAAGGCACTAAACTTCTAATAATATAACTACTCCAATTTAGTGTATTCCTTAAAGAGAACACCACAGGACATGAGACAAAATTTAGTCCTGTCCCCCAAAAAGTTTGGGAGTTGGAGCCAGTGTTGTGCCATAGAAGGTAAAGCTGCCGCCTACAATGCCAGCATCCATATGGGCACCAGTTCAATTGCCAGTTGTTCCACTTTTGATTCAGCTCCCTGCTAATGGCCTGGGAAAAGCAGAAGAAGATGGCCCAAATGCTTGGGCTCTGCCACCCATTTGGGAAACCTGGAAGAAGTTCCTGGCTCCTGGCTTCGAATTGTGCCAGTCCTGACCATTACAGCCATCTGGGGAGTGTACCAGTGGATGGAATATTCTCTCTTTCTCTCTCTCTCTCCCTCTCTCTCTCTCTCTCTCTCTATCACTAACTCACTCTCTCTCTCTCTCTCTCCCCCTTTCCCCCTCTCTCTCTCTAACTCTGACTTTCAAACAGATAAATAAATCTTTAAAAAAAACAACTTTAGGAGCTGACAAAAGCAATTCAAAGGAATCAAAGGAAAAGTACCAGCAATTGCATTCAAAAGGAGGGTATATCCACAAACAGCCCTGGGTGGTATTTTATATTCTTATTAAATGAAATATTTGTTAATTCAAACACCTATTAATTCTATTAATAATAGAGTCTGGGTTTCCAGGATCTGACACAGTGTAGCTTTATGATTTATTAAGAAGCATAAAGCACTCATAATTCCTCCCTTCTCAGAAGACATTTATTAAAACTTCCTTACATGTAAAAACTACACTTGGTGTGGTTGACACAAAAGTTCAATTAGTCACTTGACTAATTACATTTTGTGATGTAGCCCTGGAGCTTTAACAAGAAACACCTTTAGCAATACATTTCAGATTTTACTTACCAACGTAAGGGCCCTTTGCCAGCCCTTCTCAAGGTAGATGGCCAACCACTAATTGAATGTACCAGAGGGGGTCTCTATCACCAGCAAGACAGTGTGGACACAGTTGAGGCCACTGGGACCCACACCTCCTCACCTCCCAGTGGAAAGTAAAGCCATGATCCACTTCAGTTCCAAATAAAAGATGACACTAGGTCCAAAAGCCATCCACAGCAAGAGGCTGTGTGTGGAAAAAATGCAGAGCCTGAGGAGCCGCATGTTGTGTCCCTAGCATCTCAGACCATCTGTGGTGTTCAGGGCCAGTCCTGGCCCTAGCATTCAGCATTGGGAAGACCACTGCAGCCAGGAACAAGAATCAAAATGAGGCCTGCGTCCTGGCTCCCCAGTATCCCACAACAACCATGGGTTATTTTGAGTAGGTAAGGAGCAATAATGGAATAGTGGCTATTGTCCTCTCCCAATGAAAATGCAAACAACAGCAACCAAATTTTGTCTGATGATGACTGTTTAATCAAAATAATCCTTGAAGAATGACTGAGCATTCATTCAGCAAATTTGCAAAGCATTTGCTATTGTGCAAGGGATTGTAAACACTGAAGAGAATAAGGCATGTCCCTACCCTTAAGTCCTTGCACTAGGAGAAGATCTAAGTGTGTAAGAAAGTGGGAGGAGTAATATGAAGAAAAACTCCAGGGGAACAAAGCAAGAGTAATGGAAGCCAGCTAATCCAGGCGTAGGCTGTATCTTGAAGAACTTTTCCTCTTTGGTTCTAGCATGAGAAGGTGTTTCTGTACTTGGCAAAAATAAAAGCAATTGATGCTAAGTACTCTGGGTGTTAAGAGAAACCTGAAAGTTGAAATTGATGCCTAGGACTACAAAGTAAATAAGCTGCCTTCAAGTACTGTGCTAACCTGTTGTGCTGTTGCTGTACGTCTCAGTTCTTACCACACCAGATTGCACCAAATGACACCAAATCATGTTATCCTGTACGTTTCCTTAGGTTCTCCACTGGAATAGGTCAATTTCCCAGTTTCAGTTCTTTGATTTTATTGACAAAGGGTGTATCTTACCTATTTCTAGTAATTCATTTTTACACAACTACCTCAACCGTATTAATGAGACTACTATGTCAAACAGCCTTCTCATTCTTCCCCATGATGGCTCCCAGTGGTGGAGAGGAGGAAGTTATACTTTTTCTGCACAGCCGAGAAGTACCAGAAAGCACCTTATGAAGTATAAAAGAAAATACCAGAAGCATATACCTCACTATCAACAGGTGAGAAAATAAGGTCATAGAGGAATTAATCAATAAGGAACAAAATTTCTACATTGTCAGGTTTCTTGATAATCCTAAGGCCTTTAACAGTAGTGTTTTATTTGTTTTCTTTTCTTGATGAAGGTCCCAAATATTTGCAGCTATTTTCCAGTTGCTAGTTTAGCTTTACCCACTGAGATACAAGTTCCATAAAGTATCACTCAACTCAGACCCTGAAGACTCCCTGTAAAGGAATGGAGGAGCATCTCTGTTTATGGTTCTTTCTTACTCTGTCACTTTCCTCACAGCTGCTCATCCCAGGAAAACACTTTGCCTTCCATGCCATCATTTTCCTCATTAGAATAAATTGTGCGCCTGTATCTACTGCTGCAATTTTTCAGATGTATAGTTGGAATCCTCTCACCACTACCTGCTGCCACATACCTTGTTGACTCTGAAGGGGCATTCTTTTGTTTCTGATTCAGGAAATTTCTTCATCCACTTCCCGACAAAGTAGGCAGCATTCACCACAAGGATTTTGGTCTGGTCATTTATATTGTTGTCACCTAGAATGTTCTCAAAGTGGCCTGCAAATAGTTTTAGAAGACCACAAATAGAAAAATTATTCTTCCGAACTGCATCTGACATTTACACGCATGGGGTGTTTACACCATGTAAGCCTCATAGCCCAGATCATCTCATATGAAATGGGCACTTTTCCCTCCTTCCATCTCGCCACCGCCAGACTTACCAAACCTAGAATATGAGACTTGGCCTTTATGACTCCTGAACAAAAATGTATGCTCTCTTGCCTCACACTTGAGCCTCTTCTCAGCATTTTCATGTATACCATCTCCCTCTTTTCACAATGGTCATTTAAGGCAAAGGTCACTGTTCCCATTCCACAGTTGAGGAAACTGAGGATCAGAGAGACTAAGTGGAAATCCTAATCCACTCAGCTGGAAAGCGTGTCTAAGGCCATGGAACTCTCCCTTTCACCTCACAGCTCTGCACTCCCTCCCCAGTTGGACTCCTTGCAGGAAGGTTGTTTACTTCAAGGTCAAATGCAATACCAGGAGTTCAATCACAACTATAATTAGTATAGAGCTCACATATCCAATAGCCAAAACAATTCAATGGTGATAATCCACCAATAAAAAAAATTTCAGGCAAGTATTTGGCCTAGTAGTTAAGATGCTGCTTGGGATGCCAATACCCTATATCAGATTGCCTGGGTTCAAGTCTCAGTTTCACTCAAAATTCCAGGGTCCTGCTAATGCAGACCCTGGAAACAGCAGGGTATGGCTCAAGTAGTATTCCTGCCACCATGGGGGAAACCTGGATTAGGTTACCAGGTCCCAGCTTTGGTGGCCAGACTGTTGTAGGTGTTGGGAAAGTGAACCAGAAGATGGAAACTCTCTTGAGTGCTCACTCTCTCTTTCTCAAAAAAAATAAAATAAAATAAAACAGTAATAAAAATAACTCCACGCACTGGAATAGTACTTGATAGTTTTTGCTTTTATAATTGGGGCCAACACTGTGGTGCAACAGGTTAAAGCCCTGGCCTGAAGCACCGGCATCCCACATGGGCGCCGGTTCAAGACCCGGCTATTCCACTTCCCGTCCAGCTTTCTGCTATGGCCTGGGATAGCAGTGGAAGATGGCCCAGATCCTTGGGCCCCTACACCCATGTGGGAGACCCAGAAGAAGCTCCTAGATCCTGGCTTCGGACTGGTGCAGCTCTGGTCATTGCGGCCAATTGGGGAGTGAACCAGAGGATGGAAGACCCCTCTCTCTCTCTGCCTCTCCTCTCTCTGTGTAACTTGACTTTCAAATAAATAAATAAATAAATATTTAAGAGGCAGAGTTACAGGCACAGAGAGGGAAAGACAGAGAGAGAGGTCTTCCATCCACTGGTTCACTCCCCAAATGACCGCAATGGCCGGAGCTGGGCCTATCTGAAGCCAGGATCCAGGAGCCTCTTCTGTGTCTCCCATGTGGGTACAGGGGCCCAAGAACTTGGGCCATCTTCCACTGCTCTCCCAGGCCATAGCAGAGAGCTGGATTGGAAGTGGAGCAGCTAGGAAACGAACCAGGGCCCATGTGGGATGCCGGCACCACAAGCAGAGGCTTAGCCTACTATACCATAGCACAAGCCCCAGCACTTGATAGTTTTACAAAGTATTTTCATTTATGTAATCTCTATTTTCACATTTATGTTCAGACTCACATAGGGGGACTGAGATGTGTATGTGAAGGGTCCTGCCTTTGTTTAATGTTCTGGTTCTTATTGTTTGGAAATTCTTAATACATTTTCTAACTAAGGCCCTGCGTTTTCATTTCTGCAACGGACCCTAAAAATCATGTAACCAGTCCTGCCACTGCTGTATCAAGAGTTAAATATGCAATATGTTATTGAAGAACAAGGAGGTACAGGGGTCAATAAATAATAGAGCTTCAACTTAAATTCTGAGCTTCTGACTCCAAATTTGCAAGTCTTTTCACTAACTACCATCTAGGTAAAAACCTTAAATTTACCAAGATTTTAAAATAAAAGGCAGTTTGATGGGCCTGTGTTGTGGCTTAGCAGGCAAAGTCACAGCCTGTGAAGCCAGCATTTCATATGATCGCCAGTTCATGTCCCAGCTGCTCCACTTCCAATCCAGCTCCCTACTAATGACCTGGGAAAAGCACCAAAAGATGGCCTCTTTGTGCCCCTATCACCCACGTGGGAGACCCATATGATGCTCCTGGCTCCTGTCTTCAGCCTGGCCCAGCTCCATCCATTGTAGCCATCTGAGGAGTGAACCAGCAGATGGAAGATCTCTCTCTGTCTCTCTGTCTCTCCCTCTAACTCTGACTTTCAAAATAAATAAATAAATAAATAATCTGTTTTCAAAAAAGACTTTTTGAAAGAAAATGCAGTTACCAATTCTAAAGCAAAACCATTACATTACTTAAACAGGAGCTGCTTTTTGTTTATAATTTTATAACTTATGCCTAACTTGGTATTAATTATAGCAAATTTTTTCTTCAACTATAAAGTCAAAGAAACTTCTGTAATATATGTGCATATGCACATACATGTGTGGCTACTATCTGTTAGTACATATTATCAAATTTAATCCTCACAGCCATTAATTAAATTAATTAGATTAAATCAAGTGATATATGATGCACTTCACACTTGAATAAATTATGATTCTCTGTCCAAATACCTCATCTGATAAAAGTGACAGTATCTGAATTTGAACCCAGGTCCTGAATGACTCCTAAGTTCCACCTCATGCTACGCAGTTATAGCCAGGATGGGTCTTTGTCATTCGTGAGGAACATGCCCACAGCACAACTCCGGGCTCCAGTGATCCTCACAGGAAGTGTGTCTCCCTTGCCCGGAAGTGTTCTCCCCTTGCCAGGAAGTATGTCTCCTTTGACCAGCAGTGATGCTCCCAAGGCAGGAAGCAACTGCTCCAAGAATCAGTTCTTGGTTACGTGCTGCCTCCCTGTGGGCTCCTCCCTGGGCAAACACTATAAATACGCATATATTACCTGGGAAAGAGGACATGGTGACTGATTTGCAATCGAAATCATCTTTGCTCCAGTTCCATTCCAGGAAGAAGTTTTAACAGAAGGAGTCTAGGAGGAGAGAGGCCGGGGAAGCACCGCACAGGAGGCAGGACGGGGTAGGTGCTGCCATGGGACCCCAGGAGTGTCTGGGGCACAATGCCCATAGTTGTGATACTGAGGACAAACTTATATACCATGGCTTACCTTTTTTCTTATGTCTTTTTGCCTATGACATATTCTCCTTTTTGTCTTTATAAGTGTGTGATTTTTTAAACGGATGTTGGTCTCAAGGCTCATCAAGTTGTAGTCAGGCCCTTTCCTTTCCAAACTGGAAAGCTGGCCTCAAGCTTTGCCCAAGGTCAGACTTTGTGAGAGGCACAGCTGGGGCTCTGCAAGGGCTTCTGGCACCTCCACAAAGAGCAAGGCAAAGCAGACTCAAACTGAAGCCCTAGCCATGTCTGCCAAGTGATGGCATCAAGCAAAAGAAATGCCCCAAAATCCAAGTCATCCACTGGCTCGATGAGCAAGAATTTAGCTTGTCTACTAAGAGTATCCCAGGAATCCTCCAGAAGTTTTTGTTTTTGTTTTGTGTTGATTTTGTTTTACTCTTGGAGCAAGGATTCATGGGAAGGGAAGGTGTGTTTATTCAGCAGTTCAGAGCAGAACAAGAAAAGGGTACTTGCCGTCTGTGAGCTCCTTAATTGAGTCATTGATCTGGCCTTTGGTTTCTTCTGATTTATCTTTGAAGTCAACGGTTTCCAATTCTTTTGCATAAGGTCTCTTTGTAGAGCTAATGAACTCCTGCAATACATCCAGTTCATAAAATCACAAACCTTAAAACTTCTGATTAAGCTATTGAATTATACTGTTCTAACAAAAATACTTAAATGTGTATTACCATGGACACACTTTCAAAACTGGTAACACTATATGAATTGAAACCTTGTGGAAATCAGTGAATTTTCTTTGTATTACATGTTTCACTTTATCAACGATAATATCAGTTATCAAATGCATCCAACAATTTAGTATTATCTTTTGGGAAAATAAAAGAAACACTGTGTTAACACTGCTAAATACAAGTAAATGTAATTATAATACTGATTCCAATTTCAGAAACACTAAAATGTTATATATATATATATATATATATATTTGAGAGAACTTCATGAAGTTTATGGGAAATGAAGTTATTTTGGTGCAAAGAAGTCTTTTTCATAATAAGAGGAAATGTGTATTATGAAAAAACTGCAAATGGATTTCAAAAATTTTTTGTACCAGAATAAACTCATACTTTTAATTCCATTTTTCCATGAACTTTTGAAATGTCCTTGTTATATACTAGAATAGAGCAAATGTAGGGCCGGCCCTGTGGCACAGCAGGTTAACGCCCTGGCCTGAAATGCCGGCATCCCGTATGGGTGCTGGTTCAAGACCGGGCTGCTCCACTTCTGATCCAGCTCTCCACTACAGCCTGGGAAAGCAGTGGAGGATGGCCCAAGTCCTTGGGCCCCTGCACCCACGTGGGAGACCCAGAAGAAGCTCCTGGCTCCTGACTTCGGATTGGTGCAGCTCCAGCCATTGCAGCCAATTGGGGAGTGAACCATCAGACAGAAGACTTCTCTCTCTCTCTCTCTCTCTCTCTCGCTTGCTCTGCCTCTCCTCTCTCTGTATAACTCTGACTTTCATATAAATAAATAAATATTTTTTAAAAAGAAAAAAAAGAATTCCAAGTAAAGAAAAAGCTTTTTAAAAAAAAGGAATAGAGTGAATGTATAGCAAAGAGAACTATGAGCAGAAAACTCATCCTTACTAAATAAAGAAGTATTCTACACACCTAGGGACTTGGTTAGAAATTAAGACTCTCGGGCCCCACTCCATAGCTACTGGAGCAGAATGTGCATTTTAACAAGATTTCCAGGTGTCTCACCTGAACATTAAAGTTTGAAACAGTGCTAAAGGGAACAGTAGCAGTTCTGATTCTAATGCTTGTTAAAAGTGAAGAACTAGGGGCCAGCATTGTAGCACAGCAGTAGAGTAAAGCCACTGCCTGCAATGCCAGCATCCCAGGTTGGCGCCCAGTCATATTCCAGTTGCCCTACTTCCAATCTACAGTTAAGATGCTGCTTGGAATGCCCACGCCCTTGGAGTGCCTGGGTGTGAGTCCCAGCTCCACTTCCAATTCCCTCTTCCTGCTAATATGTACTCTGGGAGCCAGCAGGGGATGGCTCAAGTACTTGGATCCTTGCCACCCACTTGGGAAACCTAGATTAAGAACCAGGATCCTGGCCAAGGCCCAGCTATTGTGGGTATTTGGGGAATGAGCCAGCAGTTAAAAGATCTCTAACCTCCCCTCCAACTCTTTTCTCAGCCTTTCAAATAAGTAAAAAATAAATTAGTTTTTCTTCATTTTCTAAAGCCTTGCTACTCCTAATTTGATTGAAATAATTCCAAATGTAAAATGGAATTTCAACCACACTAAATTTAACTTGATTAAATGTCATGTCACTTCACTTCTAAGCACAAGGCTCCATAAATATTTTCAGAGCAGCTACAATCTTAGTCAATGAATTTAGCTTGAGTTAACTGCAGCCCAACTTTGGTACCAACTGTTGGCATAGACTTAGAGAACCAGTGCCCCCTAAGAACATCTAAAGATCTTGGCGAGATGAAGGACCTCCATTGTCCTCACTGCCTGCAACAAGAATGTATTGAGCAGCTCTTTAAGGATCATCTAGAGAGCTTTTAAATTTTTCTGTGCCCAAACTCACATTTCAATTTTGTTTGATTTCCCAGATGATTTTTGGAACAAAAAAAAAAATGTGTATACATGTCTTCAAGCAACAAGAATAAGCACAACAATATGTAGTAACCGGTGTCTTTTAGCCAAGCGAGAACTGAATCAACTCTGTATTACTAAAGTAGGAGAACCTCCATATAGTCTATAATGTTGCCTATATATTTCTAATTCAGATTGTAAAAATATTATGATGTTCTCTTGGGTCAAATGTAAGGTTGCCTTAGCATTCTTTATAAGACTGCTTCAAGAAATGACTGAACCTAAATAACAAGAGATGCCTCATATAGATAACATCTGATAAGCCTAGTAAAGCAAACAAAACCAGTTTGTGGCTGATGAAAAGTTAATTCATAGTTACTATTACTGGATTTTTAATAACATCAAGAGAACAGTGCGTATATAAACAAATGAGGTACAGAGTTTAAAACACTGTCCCAGGCCATATGTCCTGCTATTTGGGGAAAAAGAAATTTAAATTGTAAGCTGTCTTGAACTCCCTTGACTATGGAAATGCAAATACATTTATTAGAGGGTTAATTTTCTCCAATCTCAAAAAAAAAAAAAAGCAGAGAGGGATAGTATTGTGAGTGTTGGAGAGGGAGAGGGGAATCCCACAAGATTCACATATTTTGACCTAGAAGATGTGACTACAGTTGATTTCTATATTAAACCTCTCTGCTAAGATTGATTTATTTTCAGGAGTCCCAAACCATCAGTGAACATCTTGGAAATCACTTTCACTGAGAAAAGCTATTGGTCTACCATTGTACATTGTGAAATGCTAATCCTGGTTTAAAAAAATTATATCTTGCTAATTTCTCTAAACAGCTTACCGTAGAAGGGTTCAGAGATTTGTCCACATAGAGCTTCTTGATCAGTTTCAATGAGTAAAAAGAACTAAGTTTGTTGACATCAGATGTGACTGTTTGAAATCCAAAGGGTACATCTTTGACATTTTCAAAATGAAGGACCTGTTGAAAGAAAAAAAAAAAACTTTACTCAAAGAGTATTGCCCCTTCCAACTGTATTGGGTACATGATGATAGTCAGCTTCTTTGGGCAGGGTAGCCCCCTGCTCACTTGTTCCATAAAGCCAGGCTTCTCAACCCCAGCACTAGTGACATTTCAAGCTAGTGAGTCTCTTTTGTGGAGAAGCTGTCCTGGGTTTTGCAGTATGCTTAGCACCATCCCTGGACTACTAGATGCCAGCTGCTCTCCTCTCCTTGGTCATTACAACTAAAAATGTCTCCAGATATTGCTAAATGTCCCCAGGGTATGCAAGGGAGAACAAAATTTTCCCCAGTTGAAAAATAATAGCACTGGAGCCGGCGCTGTGGCATGGCGGGTAAAGTCACTACCTGCAGTGCCAACATCCCAAATGGGCACTGATTCAAATCCCAACTGCTCTACTTCCAATCCAGCTCTCTGCCGTGGCCTGGGAAAGCAGTAAAAGGTGACCCAAGTCCTTGGACCCCTGTACCCACGTGGGAGGCTTGGAGGAAGCTCCTGGCTCCTGGCTTCGGATCAGCTCAGCTCCAGCCATTGCTGCCATTTGGGGCAGTGAACCAGTGGATAGAAGACTCTTTCTCTCCCCTCTCTCTCTCTCTCTCTCTCTCTCTCTCTGCCTCCACCTCTCTGTAACTCTGCCTTTCAAATAAACAAACAAATCTTTTAGAAGAAGAAGAATAGCATTAAGCTCCTCTTCCTGATGAACCATGGGGGAAAATTTGCCCTTCTGCAAAGTGATGCCTCCTATGCTCACTCAGAAGGATTTCCAAACTTGGAACAAAATGAAGATGGGTTATAATTTCTACTCAATTTAGAGCCCACAAGAGAGATTAATACCAACAAGCAATCATCAAGCCAGCATTAGATTCCAGCATACAGCTGCCTTTACCCAGCATCTATGTAGTCCTTTCAGATGTTTTAACAAATGTCAACAACTGATGCATAATTTATGATGAGCAACTATAATAAATGATGGGCTGCCCTGGGTGAATTAGGGCAGACAGTGTTATCTTTCAATCCATCCTTCATTTACCAGAAATGCAATCTTGTTCAGCTCTCCAGAGTTCCACTTTCCCCTCAGTCAAAAGGACGGACAATACCTAATTGTCTGAGTTGTTATGAGGGCTGCAAATATGTAAAACATCTAAAATGTCATTTATTCTTGTGGTAATATTCTAAACCATTCAATACTAAGAAGCTATCATTTGGAAGGCTTAAATATTGTTAATTTTGTTCCATAACCCAGTGTCCATGCTCCAAAGCCACACTTCAGGTAACGTCACCAACCCAGCACATTGCACCTAGTCTCAACATTGTGTGGTCACTTTTTGGCTAGTCTGAGGCAGGGTATAACTCTCATGCCTAATGAGGGGTAAAGGAGATCAGAAAACCAAAGTGCCCAGGTACTGCTGTGTGATTCAATTGCATGTCCTGAAACCACCCTTTACAAAGAAAAGCAGATCCACTACAAGGAAGCTCCTTCAGGTCTTTCTCCACTGAGAGATGAGTAATGAGGAATGGGAGATGGGGTAGGGATTGCGGGGTTGGGGAGTGCACGGGACAGATGCAAAAATGTAGTTCCTCTTCCTCAAACAGAAGGTTTTTCATCAAGTTCTACTCAATTTCAAACACAAGTTCTTAATCCTGATCTAAATAAGATTTTGTTGGTCAAAGTTTTGGAGGATTTATGAATATAAGATGTTCCCTTTTTAAATGCTTTTGAGCTCATGCAAACAAATATTCTTTCTAGCCTAAAACAATCAACCTAAGATTAATAATGGGATGGAATTAGAAGGACATCCACCTACTATCTAAAACTACATGAGGAATTAAAATGTAACAATCAGGAAAATAATCTCACTTGAAGGCCTAACAAACTAGACAACTAAGCATAGCTGTGTGTGTGTATGTATATGTGTGTGTAAAACAGCACCATAATCCATGCTTCTGAAATGGAACACTCATGAGTATCCTAAAACATTTGTAAACATAATTCATCTCCTCATTTACCCATGCTACTTGAAGGCAGATGTCTAAAATGTAATTTCTATTAAAATAAGCATGGATATATTCTAGGAACACAGTTGCTCTTACATCTCAAAGCCTGATCCTGTAAGCAAATTCCATGGTAAGTAGACTGTTTTTCTGTTACAGAATAGGGTAGACCTGTAGATTTATCCTCTTTCTGGTCAAGGTGTTTGCAATGGAACATCTATCTCATAAACACCACCTCGACAGATCATTATAATACAGTAGGAGAACGGCATGTGACTTGCTGTAGGCCACCAGTGAAAGGACAGCCTGTGATTACTTAGCAGATCCCCAGGCTCTCCATCACACCCTGGTGCCTACCTTAAACATGGGTTACAGGACACTCAAAGGAGCTTTCATGTTTAAAAATAGATCAAGAGAATCTTAGAAATGGCACAGCTCTCAATCCTGAGCCCTTCTGACCACAAAGTCTCCATTCATTTTCCCTAGGCACTGCCCATGGGTTCTAATAGAAACAAGGCTTGGGTCTTACCTGTCCAATCTCATTTGCTGTGTCACCTTTGGCACCTACTTGAGCAAGTGACAGAGAGGTAGAGAGACAGATTGGAGAAAAGAGGACATTGCCCTCTGGCTCCTTTTCACACAGTTGTTTGAACAGGTCAACGGCAAAAGCTGAATTTGCCAGTCGTAGAGCATCCATCGTGGGCCTGGAACCAAGGAAAAGGGAGAGGTTAATTCCCAAAGCATTTTTAAAGTGTTCTTAACTGTATTCTTCCAACACAATAAGAATTCTATTTCAAGAGCGGGCTTTGGCACAGCAGTTAAGACACTGCTCAGAATGCCCACATCCCATATCAGAATGGCTGGGTTTAAATCCCAGCTCGACTCTCACTCCAGCACCCCATGAAGCAGCAGACGATGGCTCAAATAGTTGGGTACCTGATACCTATGGAGGGTACCTGAAATGAGTTCCTGGCTCCTGGCTTCAGCTTGGCCTGGCTCAGGCTACTGAAGGCATTTGAGGACTGAACCAGTGGAAAAAGATTCTCTCTCTCTCTCTCTCTCTCTCTTTCTCTCTCTCTCTCTCCCTCTCTCTCTACCTATCTTTTTCTATCTATCTTTGTCCTTATATCTCTAACTCTTTCTCCCTTTCAAATTAATCAATTTAACTTTAAAAATAATTCTCTTTCAACAAAGTACTGATCTTGGGTGGAAGAGGGGAAGAAGCTCAGTAAGTTAAAAAAGCCAATTGTGAAGAAACATTTGGACCAACATCCTAAGACATAGCAGGTTCTCTGTGTGTACTGCTCTGCTCAGAATTCCAGACTCAGGCCTGCTCAGCCACAGTGGCCATGGTCTGGTGCCCAGTGGTCATGCTCATTCGTCAGCAACCAGTCAGATAAGAACTATTGACAGCACTAATCAGAATCTGTTGGTTTTACTTACACGTTTCAATTAGAATTTGAATTAAACCACACAAAGTTGGATTTCTTTTTTAGATAAAAACAGTCAAACCAGGGGCCGGCACTGTGGTGCAGCGGGTTAACACCCTGGCCTGAAGTGCTGGCATCCCATATGGGCACCAGTTCTAGTCCCAGCTGCTCCTCTTCTGATCCAGCTCTCTGCTATGGCCTGGGAAAGCAGTAGAAGATGGCTGAAGTCCCTGGGCCCCTGCACCCTCATGTGAAACCCGGAAGAAGCTCCTGGCTTCTGGCTTCGGATCGGCACAGCTCCAACAGTTGAGGCCATCTGGGGAATGAACCAGCGGATGGAAGACCTCTCTATCTCTCTGCCTCTCCTCTCTCTGTGTAATTCTGACTTTCAAATAAATAAATAAATAAATCTTTAAAAAAAAAAAAAAAGCCAAACCATAGAAGTTTCCTGTGACACAATTTAAAATTTAGTAAATGTTGTGGGTTAGTGTTTATGGGTCTAATCATGTTCCTCAAAAAGATGTTGCAATCCTAGTACTTGTGAATTTGAATTTATTTGGAAATGAGATCTTTGCAGACGTAATTCATTAAGATGATGTCAAACTGGAGTGAGGAGGGCCCTAATCCAATATGATTGGTTTCCTAAGAACAAGAGAAGACACGGAGACAGACACACAGAGGGAAGATGATGTGAAGACGGCAGGGTCAGTGATGGAAGCCAAGGACTGCTGGCAACACCAGAAACAAAGGGAAAGGCATGAGATAGTCCTCCCGGGAGCATCCTGGTGGAACGCAGCCCTACTAACACTTCCGGAGTGATTTCCAGTCTTCTGACCTGGGGAACAGGGGCTATCAAGTGAGTGTGGTCCTTTGTCTCAGCAGCCCTGGGAGACAAGTGCAGTAAGTAATGCCTCAGTGGGACGCCCAGAAACTGGCAGTACTTACTATCCAGCACCTTTACTCTTTGTGTTACCAATCCATGCCTTCCATGTGTAAGACACTATGCAAAGTGTGGTAAGAGGTCACTGAGCTTCTCCTATGTGTTGGCAATCTCTCCGGGAAAACACAAAGACAAATAATCAGATGCAGAGTTGCTGGTGCCATTTGTGTAGCATAACAGAGAACATGGAATTAAAGAAAAGAGAGAAGAACTTCAGCTAAAAAGCAGGTAGCCTGGCAGAGCAAACATCTGCGTATGTCTCAGAAGTCTGTAATTCTCATTCAGTGTTGTCCCTGGGACCCTGCAGTCCCTAAAATGATTTCAAGAGGTGTGTGAGGTCAAACTATTTTAACAGTAATATGTAGACATTATTTTCCTTTTTCCACATTAATCTCTCATAGATACTCAAGGGAGTTTTCCAGAGACTATATGACATATCTTCTATTAAGGCAAAAATTAATGGGACTTGCCAAAATGAAAACAGTATCACTCATCTCCCTACATTTTTCACTTTAAAAAATGGGTTTTCCACCGGCGCCACAGCTCAATAGGCTAATCCTCTGCCTGCGGCGCCGGCACACCGGGTTCTAGTCCCGGTTGGGGCGCCAGATTCTGTCCCGGTTGCCCCTCTCTCAGTCCAGCTCTCTGCGGTGGCCCAGGAGTGCAGTGGAGGATGGCCCAAGTGCCTGGGCCCTGCACCCCATGGGAGACCAGGAGAAGTACCTGGCTCCTGCCTTCGGATCAGCGCGCCAGCTGCGGTGGCCATTGGAGGGTGAACCAACCGCAAAAGGAAGACCTTTCTCTCTGTCTCTCTCTCTCTCTCACTGTCCACTCTGCCTGTCAAAAAAAAAAAAATGGGTTTTCCCATTAAGATATTATTCATATTATCCACCGTGGCTCACTTGGCTAATCCTCTACCTTTGGTGCCAGCATCCCATATGGGCACTGGATTCTAATCCCAGTTGCTCCTCTTTTAGTCCAGCTCTCTGCTGTGGTACAGGAGGGCAATGGAGGATGGCCCAAGTGCTTGGGCACCTGCACCTGCATGGGAGACCAGGAGGAAGTTCCTGGCTCCTGGCTTCGGATCAGCACGGCGCCAGCCATAGTGGCCATTTGGGAGGTGAACCAATGGAAGGAAGACCTTTCTCTCTCTCTCTCTCTCACTGTCTGTAATTCTACCTGTCAAATAAATAAATAAAAAGTCTTTAAAATATATATAATGGTTTAATGATTGTTTTAAATAAATTAGTAAGTAAACATTTCAAAATTTTTCCTTTAATTTCTAGTTTGGTAAATACTGATAAATTCAATCAATCACATTTTTTACCAAAGAGTTCTTTGGGATCCTCAATTTTTCAAGAATTTAAAGGAGACTTCAGATTGTAAACATTTGAGGATCACTTTTCTAATGAAACAGAAGATGCTGATCAAGTCCAAAGGCACCTTGATGAAATCAGTCAGTGAACAGCCCCTTCTGGAAGCAGCATGGACTTCTAGGCTCTGCCTGATCCGGACAATGTGTTTCTAAGGGACATGGATTCATAGTACCTCTGACTGTTGGATTGATCAAGGCTCAAAGAAATCCCCCTAAAGCAATCAAGCATGCATGCAGAGTGATGTTGGCGATGTTGAAAGTATCCAGGTAGGAAAAGTACCCTGGGGCCAGGGAGAAAGCTTCCCTACTCAAGATAAAAGGAACCCTTTACCCAGGACCCACGGATGTCCTAGAGTCAGATGAAGCAATAAGATCTCAGCTTGAACCTTATACTTGGACAGAACTACCAAATGCAAAGCCATGAGTGTAAGACCGAAGACCAGACCTCTAATCCTCAAATATTTCTTCAGAATTCCCCCATTTATGGTACATTGGCTTACATGTAGGATGGACTCAGAAAGTTTATATCTCAGTGTCTGAAAAAACAGGTTCATTAGCAAGAAAACAACGTTGTGTTGACCCCATTCATGCTACTGGCCAGCTCCACTGACTTCCTCAAGTCCCTGGTTAAGTACATCAGAATCACGCAGGTCAGGGTTTCCAGTAGAAATCTATCGAAGGTAACCTGAAATCAGGGTGGGCTTCTTAATCCCCTCAGCCCAGAACCTTTATATCTTCCCCTGGGGCAGGGACAAGGCCTGAGGGATGACACCATAGGCAAGTTATGACCATGGCCAGCATCAGGTGCATCCTGAGACCTGCAGTGTCTGGGACAGAAATGGAAGGTTGCAGTGCATTTCAACCAGGATGCCCACCACCAGGAAACTCAAACAAAACTCTTCACAAGAGGTCTGGGGTATCCATGTAACAAATTTTCAGAGTAAGCAGACTGGCTCCCTCCAGCAACTTGTCATATTGACAAGTATTGATCAATAACTGAAACGCAACATATACATGAAGTGATGAGCAAGTGCAAGTGTCTTGACACTGCCACAGCTTGAGGTCTAATCACACTGGAAATACACAAACTGCACTTTCACAAACGCAAGTAGTTCTCCCTAGCAGGTGTATACCACCTTCTGAGAAGAGAAATCAGAACCATTTTTCCTGGGCAACAACAAACTATACTTCTGGTGATTTCCTTTGGGTAGAAAAACTGTATTTGAGACCTTGGGTTCAGCTTCCAAGGGAGTCTGCCTGCAAACACCTAGAAGTGGGTCCTGGAAATGGATCAGAGGGTAAGGAAATGCTCATTTTACCATTCTGTTCAACTAAAGCATTATTCATTCACTCATTATAACATTTTGAGATACATTTAGCCCAAATGACTCTGAATACAAGATCATTGTGGTTTCCAGCACAGCTCATCATTACACAATACAATTAACACTGTGATGCAATTCAAGGCTTAGAGCCAAGTGCCTGTTGGAGAATGTAGAGTAGTGCACTCCTAACACCTGGCAGGGGGAGACTTTCCCACCAGCAGCAGATCCTCCCCTTCAGGGAGCCCCTTCCCTGGTACAGTCATCCTCGGTGCATGGGTCCAGGCAGGCCTGCCTTCCGGTACTTTTGCTGACAGACTCCTTTCTCAGAAAATTCTCCTTCCCACGGGGGAGACCACAGATCTCCTCCTATATGAGGTCCCAGCTGCAGCAGCCTTGTTTGGTGTCGGCTGGGAATCAGAAGTGGTCTGTACATGGAGAATGCTAGCGTGGCAAGCACCAGCTTAGTACCCAGTCCATGCTACATGGTAAAGCTGACCAACTGCTCCAGGATTAGTCCTCAGCTGAAATAAAAACATTGGAAAGCTGACCTGGTCTGAGATAGCTCAAGAAATTACTTTGGCCACTGCCAAGTGCTACATTTCTGTAGCTGGAACACACACAGCAATGTTAGTAATACACACCCAGGAAAAAGTATCAAGTTCCTACACAGCCTATTTTGCATGAGCAAATGCTATAAAAATTATAAGTACAGTTGAGATTGGCAATTCCTGTACAGGAAATTTACATGTCTAATATCTTGAGTTCAAAGTGATAAAACTACTACAATCCTTTTTCATTATTCACCTTGTTTCAGAGATAATTTATTTCATTTCTTGTGAAAATTTTGTAATGACTTTAACAAAGACAATTTCATCTATGGGTCCAATGTACAAAGCACTACATCTTTTAGTCACTTAGAAGTTTTTTATTTTAACCACAGAAAAGTGATTTGGAAGTTTAGCTTGCAATAGAAATGCAGTTTTAAGAATTCACTTTAAATAGGCTTGCTTTCTGCAGTCTGTCCTAAAAAGACAACTGTTGAAAATGAGATAAGATCTTGGGGTGGATCTAGTCTGGCACACCTCTTCATTTTACAGATGAGGAAAGTGAAGCAGACCAGACAGGGTGATTCTCCCAGGCCACCCACGCAAGGAGTGAGAGTGGCAAAACCAGACCTGGAATTCATTCACTTCTCCTCAACCCCAGCCTTGGTTTCCCCACTGCACCCACCACCTTCTGTCTTGATAATCATGTCTTTGCTGCCATTTGTTCTCTCAGAAGTCTCTCAAGTTCCAATATCCTACATGGCCTGAATTTCCCCTTTAAAGATACCAAGACATCCCACACATTATTTTATCCAATACCACATGTTTTCCCTGCTATTTTCCTACTTGAAGGAGCTCTTTTTCCCTTTCTGCCACTGAAGTTGCAAAGTTTTCATATAAAGTTGCACTTGTTGAGTAAGTACCACATGTGTCAGGCACAGCGGAAGGCATTAAGAAATCCAGGGAGAACATGACATGGCTCCTTCCTCCAAGGAGCTGTCAGCTGGTGCAGGATAGGCATGATGAGCACTTTAACGGGATACACAAGTTACCTTGGGAGCTTGTAAAAGTTAACCCATACTAGAAATCCCAGTGATGCCTCCTCCAGGCAATGACATCTAAGCGAGCCACACTGAAGATGAGTCCTAAAAGATAATTAGGACTTAGCAGGGCAAAAATGGGGGCCAGAGAAAACTGATAGAGCTCAGAGACTGTGAGAGTCCTAAGTGAATGGAGGTGCAGGAGCAGGTGTGGGCGAGGAGCCTCACTTCTCCAGACCTCCAGCTTGTCATGACCCTGTATACAGATTTTCCAAGTTGTTGATGCACTTAAGCTAATGACCCTCAAACTTTGCGACTTTCCACCATGTGAGTGAGATATGGGCCAAGTGGTTTGCGGGACTATATGTCTACTTTGTGTGAAGCAGTGTTGGTTTATAGCTGTTGTCCTGACATAGTGATGGTGTCCCTCACTTGCTTAAACATACTCAATCTGAACAATTTATGTTATGGACCATCTGCCACACTCTTCCATACACAAGCACATGTACTTGCATGTGTGTACACACACACACACACACACCCCGCTGGCTAACTGCATAGCTTTTTCAGTCCTTAAAAATTAATTTTCACTTTGTCAGAGGATATCACTTAACCTAGGCTGATTCACTTTGCAGATGGAGAGATGTGGTGAAAAACACCTTTTAAGCATTTGCTATATTGGGCAGTACCTTGAGAAATCTTGTCTATTATAATACCTATAATGGAGTATGCCTAAAACACAACCTCTATTGTCCATCCTCAAGCCCAATAAGGAAAAAAAGGCAGTGGCAGGTTAAGAAAATAAGATATTTTGCCGCCATTGCAGTGTGAAAGGATGTCATGATGGAGGCAGGGAATCAGCCTCTTGAAGACACCCACGTTCCATATCAGAGAACCTGGCTTTGATGCCCAGCCCCAGCTCCAGATTCCAGCTTCCCGTTAATGCAGACCCCAGGAGGCAGCAGGTGACAGCTCACGTTATGTCCCTGCCACCCCCGTGGGATACGTGGACTGAGTTCTCAGCTCCCAGCCCGAGCCCCAGCCATTGCAGGCATTTGGGAAGTGAACCAGAAGATAAAAGTTCTCTCCACATCTGTGTGTGTGTGTGTGTGTGTGTCTACCTTTCAAATAAATAAAAAGAATATTGTGAAGAGTAAATGAAGCGATTAAGTGAGAATATATATGTGAAAATTTTATCAGGAAAAGTACAATGCAGTTATTAATAAGGTGGTCTGCTCTCATTTCTGATGAAAGAGGAGCACCTGCTTTGCTCAGACATTCTGAACATCACAGCAGCTCTCCTTTCTTTAGAAACCTGACTTTGACACTGACTCACCCCACTGGTGCCTTCCACTAATCTGGAGTCAGACTCAGCCACACCAGAATAGCCCAGATCGCTGAGATGGCATAACCCCAGAGCCAAGCAGCCACCCCAGAGGGATTGAAGTGATACAAGTCAGGGTGTCAGGAATCAAAGGTAGAAACCTGCTGACTCATTTTCTATGGAGAATCTTGTCCTCAGACCGGTTTCCACCCCTCCACCCATCAAGGAGCCATCAAACCCGCACTTACTGATGGAGACTCCTGTTTGGGACACAGCTACACTGAAAACCTCTTGTACTGGAGGCAGAAAGGACGTGAAGAATGGAAATGGAGACGCAAGTGTGCAGACCTGGTTCTACTTCATTAAAGTCATGTCCCCTCCACCTCTGTGCGCCTCTGATCCGCCCACACAACATGCAAGGGCTGAGCAAAACTAGGTCTCACATCCCCCAGCTCTGGGAATCCATTGGCAAGTCCAGAGAACAGCCCAGCTGGCGCACTTGAGTGAAGCTGTTTTCAAAAAAGAGAGCCTGTTGATGAAGGCGTGGGGAGCCAGCCGAACTGAAAAGTCCAAGCACACACTACTAAACTGTGTAACTGGTTTCCTGTAGAAACCGAGGAAGAGGAAGGCAGACACTCTCCACCTGGAGACGACCTAATGCTTATAGAGCCAAAAGGAAGAGCAGCCGGTAGACCACCTGAGTCCCAAACTATGAACCCGGAAGGTGAGCTGGAATCCCAAGGACTTCTCCACTCCCTCCCTATCAGAAACTACACCCTTTCCAAAACTGCACAATTCATTCTGAGTTCCCAGGTAGGACTGCGAGGGCCCGGGGGAAAAACTTTCTGCTCCAGGAATAGCTGTTTCCCTCCACCACCAAAACTCCCCCGCCGTGTTTTGTCTTCACATTCTTACTTTGCATGGTTAACCGATTTCAGCCCCCTACATGGCATTCCTGGCACCCGAAGGGCTGGCAGCTGGAAGCCCCGTTGAGGGATGGGAGGCAACGCCCTTCCTCTGAAAAGCACCATTATGTCCACCGCGTTCACCACCGCCCAGCAGCTCTCCTAACTATTCTATGAACTGTCCTCAAAGGAGACATCGCCAGCCCTGATGCCCCACTCTGCTTACCTGGAGTCTCAGCTATCCCAGAAAACGTGCGGCAAAGAGAAAAAGCAGGCGAGGAGCTCCAAGTCCTGGAGGTGGACGCGACGCTGTGTGCGACCCGAGGAGGTTGCTAGCTCACCTGAGCCGCGCCCGCCGCTCCCACCTGGGCCACGCCCAGCCTGCACCTCCGCCCCGCCCGCCGCTGCACTCTGCTCTTACTCACGCCTCTTGGCAGCCTGTCCGCGATTGAAAGAAATGACTCAGGCTGAAGCTGCTGCTGTCTGCTCAGCTTCTAAAGGCCTCCGACAAGCTCGGGCAGGAAGGGGCTGTCGGGGGAGTCTGCCTGTGGCTAAATTCATAGATAAACAAAGGCATCCCTAGGAGCCCACGCAGGACCCGGACGTGAAATGTACAGAGTAAAAGAAATAGGTGCTGATGGGAATGCTACAGACTTCTCAAGCACCCGGGTGGCACAGAAAATTATCTCCAGCCTTTCTTTGTTAACCACGGTAGCTCATTATGCTAGTTAGTAAGCAACATGCTGACCACAAGAGGTGGAAAATTGAATTAAAAGATGTTTTTCTGGTGCCAACAAATTTGAAATCCATGCATGTGAGGACAAAGCTAACAAAGCTAATGGAAAAGGCATATCATAAAAACCTAGGCATGGGACTCTGATTTCTGTATACTACAATAAATGTATTTTTCAATTCCAGTTTTCCATAAGCTTTTGAAGTACTATAATACATATATAGTATTGTTAGCAAAACGTTTAATACCAAATTGATAGAAGAAAATGACAAGGTGGCAGAGGGAGTTCCCAATAGCAAACTATGATTAGGATTACATAGCTTTGCTCTGAGATCTCAGAGGGTGGCCTGCTCGTGACAAACTCCAGTTTGCCTTCCTTCCCACATCTCCTTGGTTCCCTGGGACCCAGTCCCTTCCTACGGAATCCATTCTCAGGGAAGTACCTGGAACTGTGCACAGCTAATATTCCCTATTGTTCATTGACCACACTGATTCATCATAATCAATTCATTTTATGGTCTCCTCCATGTGACTGCAAGAATTTCAAAGGTAAGGGCCAAGCCCTGTTCATTGTGGCAGCACCAACATTTGATATGGACTTGACACACTCACACAGTACACTGTCAATAAATGCCTGCTGAATGAATGAATGAGAGCAACTCCTTGTGCAAAACTGAGGCTGACAGTTTGCCCTGCCCCCACATCCTGGGTATTTTATTAACCAGGATCAAAGCCATCATCTAGGTGAGTTGAACTCTGCAAATACTATTTCAAGCACTGACAGAGCAAATGCAGGCAGGCCATAGGAAATGGGACATGGGCAGATGCTTCTTTAAAATTGCAAGATCCAGGGGCCAACGCTGTGCATCAGTGGGTAAAGTCTCTGCCTGCAGCACCAGCATCCTATATGAGCACCAGATGGAGTCCTGGCCAGTCTACTGCAGATCCAGCTCCCTTCTAATGCACCTGAGAAAGCAGCAGAAGATGGCCCAAATCTCTGGACCCTTGCCACCTACATGGGCGATCAGGATGGATTTTCTGACTCCTGGTTTCAGCCTGGCCTAGCCCAGGCCTATATGGCTATTCTGGGAGTGAACCAGCAGATAGAATATCTCTCTCTGTCTCTCTCCTACATGTCTCTGTAACTCTGCCTTTCAAATAAATAAATAAATCTTTAAAAAGATTGCAAGATGCAGCCATATTGTGGGAACTGAGAATTTGGGTCAGAGTCACAGATTTGCAAACTAACTCCCACTCACTGTTTGAGAAATCCTAAACTAAGTGCCTAATCTCTCTAGCCATGGATTCTTTCTTTATAAAATCATATGTGTCATACATACAAAGTGACTGGAACTTCATTTGTGCTTCCCAATGATAACACTTATGACTTTGCAAGTTCTTTATCCAGACTCAGGGAATAATCATAGTAGCCAAAGGATTGGCACACGCTATTGGCATCTGATTCACCACAATTATTTACTGAACACCTGCTGCATGCTTGCTACTATGATCCAATAATTTTAAGACATTTGCTCTTAAATCATAGCATTCGGTCTGTTCTCCTTCTTGATCCTTGAGTTCTCTCACACTCCTGTTCAGTGTTTTCCCAACCCAAGTACAAACGTTTCCATTGACAAGAATTGAATGACACCCAGGGAAGCCCAAACATGATATCTTTGCATGATTCTGACGGAAGTGCCATTCAATTAGAGATGTAAGACAGGCTTCCTCTCGCCAAATAGTACAGCAGGAAGATACGAAACAAAAGAATTAAAGTAACTGGCATGGGATAAGAGAAGTACAAACAACAAAAGGGATTCAGAGACAAGTGTGAACCTTTCAGTCTGGGGTGACGGGGAAGAGTCGTGGAAGTGGTGTCATTGCACATCAGGATTTGATTCATGTCTGGGGAAAAAGTAACAAAGATCCAGAGCTGCAATGGCGCAAGGTACCCTGTACAGGTATGCCAACAAAGCGTTCTGCTGACTGCAGCCTGGCCCAACATTGGCTGTTGCGAGCATTTGGGGAGTGAACAAAAAGATGGAAATGTCTCTGTCAGTCTGTCTCTATCTGTCACTCTGCCTTTCAAGTAGATGAAAATAAATTTAAATAAATATTTTTTAAAAATTTGATCCATTTTTAAGATTTATTTATTTATTTGAAAGTCAGAGTTACACACAGAGAGAAGGAGAGAGAGAGAGAAAGAGGTCTTCCATCCGCTAGTTCACTCCCCAATTTTCCTCAACGGCCAGAGCTGCACCAATCCAAAGTCAGGAGCCAGGAGCTTCTTCCGGGTCTCCCACAAGGGTGCAGGGCCCCAAGAACTTGGGCCATCTTCTACTGCTTTCCTAGGCCAAGCAGAAAGCTGGATCAGAAGTGAGCAGCCGGGACTTGAACCAGTGTCCATATGAGATGCCAGCACTGCAGGTGGCGGCTTTACCCACTACTCCACAGCAAAGACCCCAATCCACTTTTAACATGTGGGTTCCATCTCTACCTATTCAATCAATTGGACACTTTGAGTGGAGTCTGTAGTTGACCGAATAAGTGTATTACAGAAGTGTTTGTTGATTGTGTCAGTCTCTGAGCAGGACCCTGGGACGAATACCAAGAAGACTAAGACCTAACTATGGGTCTGAATGAGACTACCATTTGGCTTTAAACGTCAGTGAGCCAGCGATTCTACAGTAACCATTACCATGTAAAAAAATGCACATCCTGAAGGAAATAGCCTGGAAGACCAGTGTTGTTTGTAACTTTAATACGTGAACTTACAGGCTCAAGACCTATAAGGAAAAGGTTCTGCTCATAAACAACCCGGAGAGCAGCAATATCAAAATAGCTGTGTGTTGCTGTGATCAGTTCAGTCTTCAGTCTCTTGCCATGTGGCCTCATGAGCTCTTTGAATCATCCCTCCTCTTGATGGAATTCGAGCCTACAGGAAGGAAACAGATATAAAACCAGACTCAGCAGGTTTCAATACAATGCCCATGTACAAGGAGCCTTCAAAATATTCGTGGAAAGTGCATATTATGAAGTGCATATTTTGAATTTCCTTGTATGATACAATTCACTTATTATGTTAACCATCAATGGCATCCTCAAGCTAAAGTCTAAGAAGGGTTTTTATTATACTTTTTTTACTGTTGTATAAATAGAATTTTAAAAAGTATTTGGCACACAGTGGGTACCTGGGACATAGTGAGTGCAGAATGAATGAATGAATGGGAAATAACCCAGCCTGATAACGAGACAGATTGTATAAAACATTGTAGATTCAAACAATAACAAATTCACCTGTAAAATTGAAATCATTTCCTTAAATATCACTTTTCTTCCAGTTCTCTTTTGATACTTGAGATCACAATGTCTGTTCCATACAAACACTTTACATTTGTAAGAGTGTTTCTTTAGTGTTTCTTTAGTGTTTCAGAAGCTCCTGATTCCTGGCTTCGGATTGGCACAGCTCCAGCCATTGCAGCCATCTAGGGAGTGAACCAGTGGATGGAAGACCTCTCTCTCTCTCTCTCTCTCTGCCTCTCCTTCTTTCTGTGTTTAACTCTGACTTTTAAATAAATAAATAAATCTTTAAAAAAATGAATTACTCATTCACCCATTATACAATATTATCAAACAATAATTCCCTGTAGTTCAACAAAAGTAATCTTGGCCCAAATATTTAATAACCTAGGAGACGGTTTTGTTGGTGCTTTTTCTTCCTTTTAGGTTGAAACATTGCAAACATAATAACTTGGTTACTCAGCATTCTGGCAGAGGGATGACTTGACACACCCAGCCACTCCCGGGAGCAACTCAAGGGAGCTTTGTTACAGCATGCTTAGAATCTCCTCTCTCTCTCTCTCTCTCTCTCTCTCTCTCTCTCTTTTCTCCCCCACCCCAAAGACAAGTTTCAGTCACCAATTCCCAAGCATTCTCCCCAGACGCCTACACATCTTCAAGTGTTGCCCTCCCTGATAAATGAGCTTCACAGGCTAGCTCTCCCACAGAGGAATAAATAATGTGAGTCCTGCACACCCAGCCTTTCACGGGAAGGTACAGCAAAGGCCCCCACCTGGTACTGAAAACTACTGTCTCTCTTTCACAGGTAGAAAAACTGACTCCAGAAGTACAAGGAGAATTTACCTTGAAGCTTCTCAATTCCATAGAAAAAGGATGTTTACAAAACTCCAGATTTACAATTTTTTAACTACTCCAATGTGAGAATCCAATAGTTTCATGCATTTTGTCTTATCAGCTTCTGTTTGTCTTGAAGAAAAGTTACGGTAAATGACAACCAGTTATGAAAAGCAATGTGCAATTTCTTCTTAAGAAAACTTCTTAAGAAAAATAGTTTTTTTAATGGTTAAAAAATAATAAAATTAAGGAGAGCAAGAACCCAGAATTAAACCTTAGAGAACCACATAGCAGAAGCAGCACAGTTTGCCTGTAAAAACGTTGAATGCTATTTGTAACGTATATCTGAGCAGAAAACCACTGAGGTTTTACTGATGGGTGTACAGAAGAGTGAGGTCATGATGTGAGAAAGAGAACTAATGCTGAGCCACTGCGTCACCTGTTTGATATGAATCATTGGGTGGGAAACAACTTCTTGAGGTTTCAGAATCTTCGGTAGTACAGGCAGGGGGGACAAGTTTTC